TTATTACTTCTACGTTAGTATTTTTTCCTGTGGCAGGTTTTTACTTATGTAGAGGATAGTTATAGATTGTTGCTACTTAAATCTATATAATTTTTACTTTTAGTTCTTATTGTTATAGTTAGATTTCTCTTTATTTTTTTTTCAAGGTAGACTTTTAAGAGGGATAATTAGGAACTTGCTATTGCAGTCAGAATGGGCTGTGAGTTTTACACCATTGATCTTTACTATTAAAGCATTAAAATATGTAAGAGAGTAAAGGGAGGAGAATACTCATTATAGCAAGTTGTTCACAGGTCTGTATAGAAACCGAAGAAGCTACACTTTAGAAAACTAGAAACACTGCTATGTATAGGGCTTATAATTAGTCCTTAGTTGGTTTTTGTTTTACAAAAATTTTAAATAAAGTTGTAGCCTGACTGCTGAATTCAAAAAAAAAAAATAAATAAATAAAAAATAGTGTAAGAGCAACTGTGAACACTTTGAAATTGAACTGAAACAAGTCCATGAGTGGTGTAACAAAAAGCAAGAACTTCTGAATGCAGTACTATATGCTTTAACACTCAATATAGTCAGCAAGTATAGTACCTTCTGTTGGAAGAAAACTTAATAGATTAGATCAAAGAGCATCGTAATATGCAACATGCTATTACTAGAAATATAGTAGTTAAGAAGGCTAAGGCTTTGGCCTGGACTGATGAAATTAAGAATACTTACTCTAATATCACTAGCTTTAAATTTTCTATTTTCTGGTTGAGTCAGTTCTTATGTCATAATAATCTTTCGAACTGTAGATGTACAACTATTATGCAATACCTTTTAGCAGCTTTGACTAAAAAACAAAGTAAATTCCTTAGTTTGATTTTGTTCAAATGTAATCAGTATAACTACCCTGTTAGATATATTGGTAATATAAATGAAACGTCTTTAGTATTTGATATGCCTAGTCTAGTAATCCTTGAAAAATGTAGAGCAAAGACAGTAAGCATCAGAACTACCAGGCATGAAAAAGCATACTTTACTGTGATTCTTAGATATCTTGCAGATAGAATGAAACTTCTACCTGTATGTATTTTTAAGTTGAAAAATGTTCCTTGTGAAGTCTTCCTTCTGAGTATTATCATTAGAGTAAACGAAAAAGGATGGTATAATGAGCTTGTAATATATGATTAGATTGATAATATTTGAACTGAGCATAATTTATTAGGAAATCCACAATCTCTTCTTGTTTTGAATATCTTTAGAGGTTACTTAGTAGACTCTGTTAAGTACCGGTTTAATAAAAAAAATACTGATCTTGCAGTTATTCCATGTGGAATAACTAGTAAATTACAGCCTCTTAATATTGCGATCAACAAAAGCTTCAAGTATCAGATATATTGAAACAAATCTTTTTTTTTTTAAAATTAAGCACATTAATAACCCTAAACTTTATCAAGGTGCATTGCCATTACAATAAATAGATAGTTAATTCAATTCATCAATTAACGCCTGCTAGATATATCTGAAAGCTATCATATGCCATATTAGCTCTATAAGT